ATTTTTTATTTTTTTTTCATTCTTAGCCAGATATACACATTGATTTTCACAAGTTTTTTCTTTTTACTTCCCATCTCCTCCCTTTTTCCTAAACTGTCATAGAAACATTTTAGAATCTCATTTTTTTTTCAAAAAGCTAATACAGAGGTTCTCCAATCAAAAGGGTTACTATAAAGGGATTGGTTTAATGCATTTATCTGCAAATTCTCTAGGATCCTGTTGAGAAGAAGAAGATGTCATATTATTATTGCAGAGTCGTTTTTGGAACAGAAGCCTAGTTTCATCAGATGGTCTTTTCTGAGGATCGTCCCTACATTGTTTTTCAGTAGGAATGATTTCTCTCGGATCCTCAAGACATATAGGAGAATCCTGTCTTGAGAAATTGAGCTGTCCCTCCTCCTCGAGGGGTTTTGACAAAGGGAGAGAAGTTTCGGTTCCCTTATCCTCGGAGAGTCTTGACAAATCGAGAGGTTCTTCCTCTTCGAGAGGTCGTGACAAAGGGAGCACAGGTCCTTCCTCATTCTCGAGGGTTCTTGATAAATGAAGAGGTTTTTCATCCTCGAGGGGTTTTGATAAAGGGTTTGATTTTTCGTTCTCGAGGGGTTTTGACAAAGGGTGGAGATGAACCCGAACAGAATCCTTCGTCTCCTCGTCCTCATGGATGAGGATAGACTTTTTTGGAAAGACTTTTTCTTTTTCTGAACAGGTTCCTCCGCCTCCTCATCCTCATCATCGGTGAGAGAGATGTGGTAGCTTTTCAACCATTCTATCTTTTCTTGCTCGATAATTTTTTGAAAAGTCTTGGTCTCGTTCAGATGATTGTCCTCTAGAATATAATATGGATTCTTCCCAGTCGTCACGATCGAGAGAGTTTCGTGCAGAAATTTGTGCAACCAATCGCTAAAATGAACGAGAATCCCCTTTTTCTTCTCATGACGATTCATGATATGGTTCATTTGCGGGAGGGTTAGAAATGTAGACGTGTAATGATATTTGGCTCCTTTCATCGACAAAATTTCTGAATCTAAAGTTGAAATTTCACGTGCCGTGAAAATTTTTTCATCGGCCAGAAGGTGGTCCCGCATCTTGTGGTAGCTCCCCACGATATGATATCCCTCACATTTTGAAAAATCGGAGGCTTTCAAGTAAATGACTCCTTGAATGATATAAAAGGAAAGTTCAAAATTTTTATATTTGAAAGGGATATGTGTGGTGAGCTGGGGATTCCTCATGATGATCGACTTCTTCCCCAAAACATACAACTGTTTGGTTCTCTTTTTCTATTTTATATATGTAGAGAGAGTTCCCGCCTTCTTCATCTCTGTATCTCTGGGCGTCCTTGGGATAGAAAAAGTAACTGAAAAAAATAGGAAGTTCAAGGTTGGTTCATGATGACTTTCACTTCCGCATTCCAACCCACCCAAAAAGAAATAAGTCAGGAAGATAAGATTTCTTGGAAAAGATAGATATATATAAACAAAAATGAATGAAACTACGACGTCATAGAGACTCTGTGTGTGTGTATAAAAAGGCGAGAGCACTGAGCGAGATTATTCCATTAGGAGCCATGTCGCTGTTCGATGTTTTTCCGACTCAACCGATTTCGGGTGTAGAGGATTTGAAGTCGCTCACGCAAATCACAAAACTTGAAAATCTTTCTGGCATGTCATTGTGCGAAATTTATTCCATATTTACCAACTTATCGAGCCATCGTCTCTTTCAAGCAGGATGTCAAATCCTCCGACCTGCTCGTTCAGAACCTGTATAGGAATTTATTCGAATCTCAACAAACGAAAGAGGAATCTCCCATCTCTTGGAACCGGGTGGATCGAGCTTTGAGACGGCCTATTCAAACAGATCGCAGATATACGGATCCGCGCATGACTTTTCGATGGAGGAATATTTTTCTCACGAAAAGATACTTTACGTTTGGAGTGAGAACGACGGCTTTGGACGAAGTGCAAATTGTTCAGACCACAGCCTCCCCCCTCGTCTATTACGAATTCTCGTCGCCCCATCTCCAGGAAAGAAGTTTTAACGTCGCCAACAGGACGAAATTTAAGAAAGATATTCTAAGACCTTTCCAAACCTACGTCATCCCTCCAAAAATGTGCTACCTCATCCTCACGAACCAGAAGAGCCTCTTTCTCGTGGATCGATGCCCGTGGAAACAATTAGAAAAGGAGATTTCTTTTCAAACGCCGATGACGTTTCTAGAGGAGCAGAACCCACGGCCACTTTCTCCTATCCCTTCTGTTATGAATTAGTTCACAAAAAAAGGTAAGTGGACTGTAATATATCACTTGTTTATTTTACATAACACTTTGAAATAGAACGAATGCCGTCCACGTGACGACACAGCTCACATCACTCCAAGCACAGTAGCAATTAAAACAAAAAAGAATAGAATACAAATCACATAAATTATGAGTTGAAAGTTCGTTACCATAGCAACCAGAATTGAATCATCAGGCGGCAACGCCATCTAATGTTGCAAAGACACACTAGTAAATCGTTTGGTAACAAAAAATACTAAACATAGCCCCCGGCCTTGAAGCCTTCTAAGGGTTCAAAAAAGACAAATAGTTAAAGCATACATAATAACATTAACAAAAAAAATTAATTGAAAATATAACTAAAATTAAAGTTCAATAATATGAAAAAAGTCAATAGTTCATAGTTCATATTAGTCATGATTGGGGATAAGACACAATTTAGTAACAGCTCGTTTGAAATCACCAGCGGCTGTATGGATTGTAGCCACTCGAACTTTTTTATCACTACCTGGATGAATTAAGGCAATTCTTCCAATTTTCCATTGGTTTGGAGGCAGTTGTTCGTTTTTGATCAGAACTAAATCACCACATTTTAGATTTGGAGACGCACACGAAACCACTTAGCACGTTGTTGAAGTGTTGTTAAATATTCTGCACACCATCGTTTCCAAAAATGTTGCACAGTCTGTTGAACTAGAGACCAACGTTTAAGTCGTGAAGATTTCACATCACTCAAGTCAGATTCCGGAATGGCAAGCAAAGGGGCTCCAATCAGAAAATGACCTGGAGTCAATGCACTAAAGTCGTTTGGATCACTAGACATCGCACAAAGAGGACGGGAATTCATACACGCTTCCACTTGTGTAAGCACTGTTAAAAATTCCTCGTAAGTTAGAAGTGTGGATCCTAATACTCGTTTAAGATGAAATTTCATGGATTTCACATTAGATTCCCACAAGCCACCGTAGTGAGGAGATGTCGGAGGATTAAATAACCAAGTTATACCTTCTGAGGTAATGTAGTCACATAATTCACTGCTTTTCTCAATGCGAGCTGCATTTTTATAAATCTCCTTCAGTTCCTTACTAGCACCTTTGAAGTTAGTAGCACAGTCACTCGAAATTTTAGATGGTTTGCCTCGTCGGGCGATAAATCTTTTTAGAGCTGCTAAAAACGTTGAAGTTGATAAATCACTGACTAACTCCAAGTGTACAGCTTTTGTTGAGAAACACACAAAAAATGGATATACGTAACACTTGAAAGTTTTTGTTCTTCTCCCAACTTGGGACTTAATAGAATATGGACCAGCATAATCAACACCGGTGACTGCAAAAGGTCTTGATGGTTGAACTCTGGGCGAGGGTAAATCACCCATTATCTGGGTCACAGTCTTGCCTCGATTTCTAATACAAGGAATACATCTGTGAATAATCTTTCTCACTACGCTTCTCACCGCAAGAATCCAAAACTGCATTCGTAAAGTGCTTATTAATAACTCTTGACTAGCATGCAAATAATTGACATGGTAATGAGTTACGATGAGATTAGTGACATGTCCTTCCTTTGGAAGCAAAATAGGATGTTTGCTATTTTCAGGAATGTTTGCATTTTTTAAGCGACCACCTACTCGAATGACGCCTTCTTCATCAAGGAAGGAAGGGAGTTAATTGTATTACTCGGCTGCTCACACCTTTTAATTCTCTCGATGTTTTTAAATAAGAGAGCTCTTGAGGAAAATATGATTCTTGGACATTTTTTATCACTGTTTTTGTAGCTAATCGAAGCTCATCGGTTGTCAGAAAACCTCTCAAACGATTTTCGGAGAAGTTTCGACAGTTGTAAATAAATCTTAGGCATAATGCAACTATACGACGTAATTTTGTCCAAGATGAATACCGTTTAAAAATGTCATTTTCCTTTACCGCACAAGATACTGAAATGCAAGTTTTTCTTTCTTCTCTACGAACTCCTTCATAATCTACATCAGCAAGATGTTCACTGTCAGGACATGGTTCGAAATCTTGTGAATATAACCAAGTAGGTCCAATGAACCATCGCTCACACTTCAGAAATTCTGCTGGAAACATTCCTCTTGTACCTGAATCAGCTGGGTTCCGCTTTCCATTGATATGGTTCCACCTTACATTAGGAATTGTATTCTGTATTTTAGCAACGCGGTTTGCAACAAAGGGAACCCAACGGTATGGTTCTGCAGAAATCCAGGACAGTACAACAGTTGAATCTGTCCAGGCCAAAACTTTACGTATAGGAAACTCTAAATGTTCTAACACTGATTTAAGCAAATTCACTAACAAAACTGCGGCGCATAACTCTAATCGAGGTAATGATTGCACTTTCAGAGGGGCAACTCTTGTTTTTGATGTTAAGAGTGTTACTTTGATGTCCAAATTACGTGACACTGAACGCAAATAAATTGCTGCACAGTAGCCTTTCTCGGAGGCATCACAAAAAGCACAGATATCAATATAGTTCACGTCAGGAATCAAAACAAATCTCGGTATTTTTAATTGTTGAATAAGATGTAAATCATTTCGGAAAATCTTCCATTTGTTAGCAATCTCATCACTAACAGGTTCATCCCACGATAAATGGAGTTTCCACATGTCTTGTATCAAGATTTTGACATAAATAATACAAGGAGCAAGCCAACCCAATGGGTCAAATATTTTCGCTAAATCAGAAAGGATATCTCTTTTAGAGTATTTAAAGCTTTTCACCAGAAATGGATACGGAAAAGTTAAAGTAGTCTTCACGGGGGTTCCAATTAATTCCTAAAACTTTGATTGAGCTATCGTCTTGAATTTTCATAGCCTCAGAATCATTTCTCAACTCCTGGGGTATATTCTCTAACACTGACAAGTCATTGGATGACCATTTACGCAGAAGAAATCCTCCACGTTCTAACATTTGCAAGAGTTGATTTACTAGATTTTTGCACTCTTCAGTGTTTTGAGCACCTACCAAACAATCATCTACAAAAAAATTTTGAAGTACAGCCTTCGAAGCTAAAGGATAGTTATTCTGCTCATCGTAGGCAAGTTGGTATAAAGCACGAGTAGCCAAATATGGAGCCGAGGCAGTGCCGTATGTGACAGTATTAAGTCGAAATTCTTGAATAGGATCACTGTCCCGCCAAAATATCCTTTGAAAGTTTCTATCCTCTTCATTAACTAGAATTTGTCTAAACATTTTCATGATATCAGCTGTGACAACTACTGGGTAAGATTTGAATTTGACCAAAACTGGAAACAGCTCTTGTTGTATTCTGGGACCTGTCATCAATATGTCGTTAATAGATAGTCCTGATGAAGACTTACTAGTAGCATTAAATACCACACGTATTTTACTCGTAGAGCTAGATTCCTTAATTACTGCATGATGTGGCATGTAGTATGCCTGACTTGGGGACTCTGAACTACGGACTGGTTCCATGTGCCCGAGATCCAAGTATTCCTTCATGAAATGTTTATACATATCATATGTATCAGGAGATCTTAAGAGATTTCTCTCTAAAGATTTAAATCTTTGTAAAGCAAGATCTTTAGAATTACCCAACCTTGAAGGGTTATCTTTAAATGGAAGTTTCACTACATAACGACCATTTTGATCACGGAAGTGTGTTGTTTTAAAGAACTCTTCACATTTTTTATCTTCACTTGAAATACGTTTGACTTCCGGAATGGAGTCTAAAGACCAAAATCTTTCAACTAATTCGTTTGTATTCAACTGAAGATTATTCACTGTAAAAGTGTTAGTTAGATTCGAATCATCAGTAATAGTGTTCCCGGAAATGATCCAACCCAACTGAGAACAAATTGCAAAGGGTAATGATTCTCCTCTCTTTATGATGTCTCCCTTAAGCATAGTAAAAAATACATTTACACCTAACAAAATATCTATAGGTTTTCTTTCATAGAACTTAGGATCAGCTAAGACTAGATCGTCAAAATGATTCGCAATTTTAGAAGGAAGCGACACGTTAGGCACATCTGAAGTTATCCTTGGAATCACGAATGCATATGTTCGAAATTTGGAATTTGACTCAAAGTGCGGGGTAAAAATTAATTCCACTTCTCCACTTGTTACAGTGTTGAACGAACCAAGGCACGATACTTCAATTTTTTTGTTAAATCTACCTAACTTTAGTTTTACTGACACACTCTTCACTTATAAAGCTGGCTTCACTGCCACAGTCTAGTAAAGCCCTGCAAGGGATGGCTTTACCATTGGAATCACTAACTTTAATGAGAGCAGTACACAGTAATACACGTTTTGATTCACCTTTAGAATAACTAAATTGTCCTGTACATGTTGTGGCATTTGTAACGACTTCATTCTTTGGTAAGAACACTTCGGCTTTGGGGGAGAGTGAGGACGTTTGTTTTGGTTTCTCATTTTCACTAGTTTTGATATTTCGATCAAAATGAAGAACAGTATGATGAGGTAACTTACACGTCATACATTTATGTAAACTACGACAGTTTTTCACTAAATGAGGCTGAGAAGATAAACAATTAAAACAAAGTTTGTGTTTCTTAACAAATTCGATTCTTTTTTGGACACTTAAGTTTAAAAACTTACCACATTTGTGAAGAGAATGATCTTCCTTGCACATTATACAACTGTTTTTACTCGACACTAAAGAAGTTAATTTGGAATTAGAAAATTTCCTAAAATCTTTAGATTGGTTTCTACTATTCTGAAGGGTTCTAGCGTGGTCTTTTAGAAACTCGAGTAAATTATCTAAAGTACCTAATTCATCTTTTTTCAAAGTTCTTTCCCACCAAAATTTTATGTTTTTATCTAATTTCTCAGTTATCAGATAAACAAAAAGAACATCAGAAAGATCAGAAACTTCTAGCTTAAGAGTTCTCAAAGAGCGTACACATTCATTCACTACATCAACACAATGTAAAATAGCTTGAGCTGAATCAGAAACATTTGGCAAATTAAACATTTTACGGATTAATGCATTAGTTAATTCTCTTTTATTAGAATAACGTTCCTGTAAAAGTTGCAACGCTATATCATAATTAGCATCAGAAATAGGAATTGACTCAATAATAGACAGAGCCTTTTTTTTACAAGAAGCCTTTAAATATTGAAACTTCTGACATTTAGAAATATTCGGATTGTTATCTACACTAGCCTTAAAAAGATCATAGAAACTAATCCACTCATCTATATTTTCCCCTGTAAAGGTAGAAAGTTCTAATTTTGGTAATCGAACGTCAGACGAATTTACTTTTGCTACACTACTTGTTTCGATAACAGAGTCACTGGAAAGTTTCTGTAACTTTTTATTTATAGTTATCCATAATTCATCTAAAGTTTCTTGTATTGTTTGTTGTTCCGTAATGAATGTATCACAATCTTTTTGAGGACACACAAAAAAAATAGTTCCTCATAAATAGAACGAAGCTCACTGTTAAAAGCATTTAGTTTCGTTTCGAACAACTTTACCTCTAAAATTTCTGCTTGTTCTAAATTCGAATTTACCTTGCCTTTAAACGTTGTTATATTGCTTTTTAGAACCTTCTTTTTAGTTAAAACTGGTTTCAAATCAGCCATTATGAATAACAATAAATATTATACTAACAACTCTAGCAAAAGAAGATGAAATATTGGAACGTACTCACCCCAATGTTGAGGTTTCTACGCTACACCATGCCACGGGAAATATTCCACAAATCGAATCGAAAGAACACTAAGCTGTTTATTAATCCACAAATCGAAAGTGATTTAACTTGCTAATATTTGAATAAATCACATCATATCCAAAGATCGCTAACTCTTCTCTCCGGTCGCTACGGACCAGGAATGTTAATGAATAAGTTCACAAAAAAAAGGTAAGCGGACTGTAATATCACTTGTTTATTTTACATAACACTTTGAAATAGAAGGAATGCCGTCCACGTGACGACACAGCTCACATCACTCCAAGCACAGTAGCAATTAAAATAAAACAAAAAAGAATAGAATACAAATCACATAAAGTTATGAGTTGAAAGTTCGTTACCATAGCAACCAGAATTGAATCATCAGGCAGCAACGCCATCTATTGTTGCAAAGACACACTAGTAAATCGTTTGGTAACAAAAAAATAAAACATATATGCGTTGTTTACGTTTTGGCCAAGATATTGTAGTTGTCATAAAGCGGCATTGAATCAGTGGATGCGCTCAAACTCACTTTTGCCGCTTTTACTTCCTTTACAAAAAAGGATATTGTATCGCGAAAAGTTCAGGCAGCTATTCAACAAAATATCCATTGACGCTATCGATGCAATTAACGATGTTTGTTGCGTGATATTGTACGTAAGGCCAGAATAAAATCTCTTTTTCCGTCAAAAAAATTATAAACCTGCTTTAAAATTAATTCTGAAGAGATTTTCATGGCGTCTGTACGAACGTATGTACGTACGTGCGTACGTACGTATCTCGCAAAACTCAAAAATGAGTAGCCTCAGAACGTTGAAATTTTGTATATAGGACTTCTATAACATGTAGATGTGCACCTCGTATTTTGGTTGCAATCGGCCGCACCAAACGTACGAGTATATATCCACTCTGTTACCCGGCTCCCGGCTCAGTGATCTCAGTTTCTTTACTCTTATATATTGGTAAATTGTACATTTTTTGCTTTAAAAATGATTGTATTATGTTGTTTTTATCTTCCGGTTTAAGGATTTTTCCTTTAGTAAATCTGTGTGCAATATTTTTAAAATTATCAACAATTTTAAAGTTGTTTATTTGCCGCTAAGCTTCTTTAATGGCGGCCATGATGTTTACATTTAAACAGGAGACTAGTGGTTTGTGCCAATCTAGAGAAACTTAGCTTCGCAACACAAAGATAACGCCTTCATTTATTATTGCCATTAAATCATGCTTAATTCTTTTTCTGGAATTTTTTCGAGAAATAAGTTTTGAGATTTACTTCGTAATTTTTAATATAGATATTTTGAGTTTTTATGTATTTTTGCCTCTCCGAAGTAGAACTGAATTAATTAAAGAGTCTCTCAATCGTCTGTGAAAAACTTTCTTTTTGTTTGTTTGCTTTAATTTCTTTATACATCATTCTAGCTTATTATAGTATTTGAATAGAACTGTGGCAACGATTATAATCTATTCTTTAAATGATATAAATTGGTGCATTATAGTTATAATATGAACGAAATATACTACTGTATATAATTATTGGATTATATACGTTAATTTTGTTTCCGTTATAAAATTATATAAGTTAACTGTTATATTTTATTAATAATGTAAGTGAATCTAGCGCCAGAGTGTCGCTATGGTAAACAAATACTAGAGTGAATTTTAATAATGCATTTATTCTATGTGGTTTAGGCTGTCGGCGAAGTAGATTTAATTCAATCCAATAATTTAAATGAATCGCAAGAAACAATGCGTAATTTTAATATTCCAATTTAATTTTCCAATACAAGAGTCATGTGGTGTGTACATCAGATTTCTTTTTAACAAATGGCTGCTTAGCGATTATCTTGTTTTATTTTATTTAATTAGTATTGAATTATTAATTATTAATAATTAGATGTTATTAATTAGATTTTTGAATCTGTGCAAAGACGTGAAGTTGACTTTGCCGTTGAAACCCTTTTTGAACTCTATCATACTAAACTGCATTTGTACGGTATTTTTCCTCAGTGCTTTCTATTCTTAAATTTTATACATTTTTTTTTTATGTTATGCAATAAATAGAAATTAACTGTGATTCGACTGAAATTTATTTTAAAAAAAGGGGGGGTTTACTGATAACATCTGAAATTGGTTTTTCTGGCAACTTAGTTTTCATGATAAAAATGTATATAAAAAATATTTTCTAGAAAGAAAAAGTGCATTTTTAATTCTCCAATATATATAGATTTAAAATATGAAAAAAATATGGAAGCGATTTCGGTCCACAAATTGAGCAGTCAGAGAGGGTTAAAAGGGATAGCTAAATGAATGCTTTCGTATTTTTCTGCACTTGTAAATATTGCCTTCTGAACGTCTTCCACAAAAGCATGCCTCTCGTTAAAAACATAGCTTTTAAGCGTTCTATCATAATTAATTAACCTATTGAAATCTTCATTTATTTGCACTGTAATATGCAGCATTAAATCTCATTTTTGTTTATTTCGTTTTCAAAGTTGTAACAAAAACCCAGTAATACAAAAGGAGAGGGAAATTCGGGCAGAATTGTAGAAAACTATGTTAGGTATAACATAGTAATTGCCAGATATTAAGTTTTCACTTATTGTTTAATAATGGTTTCACTTAATGTGAGTTGAATGTCTTAATAGTAATAATAGTAATGATAAATTCTTGTATATATTATATAATCGGTAATATATAGTAATATTTTCCTCCTTCTTTTGTAGATGGAGCAGTTGATTTGTGAAATGCAACATCCCGAGACAGGAGTTCCTGTAAGAAGTCAAAAACTGTTCCTTACTACCATTCCCTGCGCTTTCTTGGGTTTGTAACTCTATTTTTTCCCGCATATTTTGTGTAATTATTTTATGGTCAGCTTTTCCTTACTTTACTATATAAGATATTTCTCCCGCCTTCCTAGCGTACCTTCGTGGTGTAGTGATCAGCACACTGAGCCGCTATTTCAGAGGTCCGTGCTTCGATTCCCGGCGAAGGCATTGCTAATTTTTCATCTTGCATGCTTCCTCTACAACTAATACGATTTTCTCATTTTTAAAAATCAATTTTATAACGAAAATAACTAAAACATCTGTAAAAGTCTCGTGTGTCTATAAAAGAATATTTAAAAGTATCCCAGATGTTTAAATATAAAATAAATGATATTTAACTTATTATATAAGAATTGAAAGTTAAAATAATCCAAAA